AATCAGTGAATTTTCCAGTCAGAAACGCTCAATAGTTTCTCACCCCAATTTCCTAAATTCTATATTGTCGAAAAAATCAAGGTTTTTTCTCGAATTTCGATTTTCGACGTCACGCTTTCCCTCATAAAAACCCGGTTTTCGGAAAACCGACAGGAACACGGTGCACCAACAATATCGGGGTCCAACTTCAGTATATAATACTTGAAACAAAGCTTTCTTCAGTAAAATTTTAGCCTCTTCACATCTTGTTCAGTATCATTCGGCGCTTAAACCAATAGTTTGGGCATTAATTTATTTACGAGGGAACTCGGGCGTATTTTGGGAATTTTCGTAGTTTAAAGGGCAGTCCAGGGTAAAATTTTCGCAGACGTTTGATGATCTTGTCCAAATTCAGATTCTGAGTTTTTTGGGGTTTTCTGAGTTATCTTATTTATAAAAACCTTGTATTGCAATTTCGTCCGGGTTATGCCCAAATATTTCAAATCTTGCCCCGACCTGACAGCACACACCACAATTGGCGCTCAGCAGGTCCTTATCTATCCCGAATCTCGCCGAAAACAATCAGGCAAGTAAAATTGTATCCTCTCAAATTTTGTCCCGTGCCATCTGGCGCTGAATCCAACAGTTAGGCCAATAGTTGGAAATTTTTGAGGGCAAATTGGCAACTTCGGAAATTTGATCAGTTTTGGGGCAAAATTTTTGCTAGCTTCTGGAGAAATTCTCAAAATGGCCTTTTGTTAATTTGATTTTTGCAATGAGGAACCACTACTTTCACACTCTGGCTCTCCCTTAAAAGCACATGTCTGCATAAAGAAACCAACGGCACGTATGTTGTTTCTAAAATGGGCCAGAAACAGAAAAATGAAGTAGAAAACCCTTGTATCGCAATTTCGTGCGAGTTACCCCCTAATATTTCAAATCTCGCCCCGACCAATAACACCACACTCCACCCACCGCAATCAGCGCTCAGCGCGGGTCCTCACCTTTCCCGAAACCCGCCGAAAACGATCAGGGAACCGTCCTTCGACNGGGCGGCGGGCGAAAGGAGAAACGTTGCCGCGCCGAGCCGCCGAGCCGCACCCGCGCGTTAGTTGACCAAGTGCACTCGCTGCGCGCGGACGGAATCCCAGCACTACAGCGCGCGCGCCACGCCGAGACCCGAAACCGAAACCCTTCGCCCTCTCCGCGTGTGACGTCTCTCCCCCCCGCGTGCGAACGACTTTTCGGTGCGTTTTCGGTTTGTGACCGGTCGGTGGACGATGCGATGACTCGCCGGATTATCATCGTCGACGAGTGATAACGCGGTGATAAGTGTTCGCCCCCGCCCCCTCCCCGAAGTGTTTGTGTGCAAGTGATGTGTTTAAACGATAGTATGGATAGTACGTTCAAAATTAATGGTATTGACTCTTTAGTATTTTTCTCTCTCTCTCTCTCTCCCCTTCTGCCCCCCGTTTATTTTTGCGCTTTTTCTCGCCACTTTTCCTCGACCTGTCGTTTTGTTTTTCCCTCCGGTTTCCCGCTCGACCTGGTGAACGTCGGAAAGACGTCCTGTCAGCGTTGTACATTTTTACTTTCACTGGAAAAAAAACCACATTGGATCTAGAGTCCAGACTCTTGAAAACATCGACAAGAAAAAATACTCTTGATTCAATCAGATTTAAGCTTAAATCAAGAACCAAGCCTCTTAATTTGAGCGGATTTCCTTTTGATTTAAGCTTACATCTGATTGAATCAAGAGTATTTTTTCTTGTCAATGTTTTTAAAGAGTCTGGACTCTAGATCCAATGTGTTTTTTTCCAGTGATTCTCGCTCCCCTTGATGGAGGTTTTTTTTTATGAACAAATCTAAAGAAACGTATGGCTTGTACTTTCACCCAATAGCGTATCAGAGCCATCATGCGTCGACCATCACGTGTGCTAGGTGTTTTTTTCCATTTTTCGGTTTTTGGGGTTTCACGCATGTCACGTGTGTACAGAAAGGAACACAACCCTTACCTATAATTTCGAAATGCTGTTTCAGGATAGTTTTTTTCTATTAATTTTGCGAAGCGATGGAGCCATGCCATTTTTTTATACACTCAAAATTGGTTTTTTCCCCCTCATTTCAAATTTTTTAGGAATTTTGAGCAAAATAGATCTTTGTAATTATTTCGTTTAAAGCATACCGAATACCTTTTGACACCCCTCACTTTTCACTCTATTTCTTCTCCGATCGCACATTCAACTGCCTTTTGGTCTCATTTCGTGATGAAATCGCGAGTTTTACGCGAAAACAGTCAACTTGTCTTTCAAGCTGAGAAGAAAATAGCAAGTTAAGTCCAATTTCACCATGATCTACACAGCTCGGCAGAAATCACAAAAAAAGGGGGAAAAATGAAAAAACACTCTGCCATGCCAGTCGATCATGCATGTTAAAACATTTTCCCCCCTTGTGTAGATTTAATTATTTTCCCTTCCTCCCTTAAACAAATATAAATAAATAAAAAATGAAGCATATCGAGTAACCTCCTTCTACATCATTTCTACAACTCGTACATTATTCCCATTGCATGCTCGAATAAAATGCTAGCGCCTTCTAGTATTTTCATCTCCGCAGCTGTCAGTACGATGTGTTTCTCTGGGGTCATCATACTTCGCAAGGCCGAATGTGGCACAGTCACCTACTTATTCCATTCCCTTTGTTTCTCACCAAAATTCGATCCCAAGTCTCATCGAATCTTATCAGCACCCAGGGGCCATTACGCACCTTACTATCAATCGTATACCTTCTCTCTGTACCTTTTAACGGAGCTTTATATACCTTATAGATAAGGTATATAAAGCTCTAGAGAGCTCAAAGTACAGAGATCTCTGTACCTTTTAATGGGACTTTATATTATGCTCACGGGATGAAATGGGTCACGTGAGAGCGTGCGATTTTTTACAATATTCGATGTACCATGCTGCCGCCGTCCTAGGGAAAAACGCCGTTTGAGCCTTCAGATGTTGCCCAATTTCCTTCAATAAAAATCAAATTTACTGAGAAAATTGTAAATATTTTTCCTCGAATTTTTCAGTCAATTTTTTTCACGATTCGATCTAAAATATCTGAAAATTTCGAGGAAGATTATGCATAGCTTTCCTAGAAAATACATGTTCTATTCGAGGATATTCGGCAACTCTCGAATGTTCTTACGGCGTTCTTCCTTAGCACGGCAGAATATATGCCCTCTGTGACCTTTGTGATGGGATACCCTCTTCTAGAACTGTACTTTCGGGAGCTTCCTTTCGAGGTGGTAGTGGTTGACCTTTGGGAATTTTTTAGTTGAAACCCGAAATTTCTTCTCCTCATTTCATCCTAAAATGTTTCCATTTTAGCAAGGTTTTAGGGGTAGGCTCCGCGGGCCGGTTATTGAAATTGATAGACAGAGCTATAGACAAAGAAGACAAAAGGGATATGGAAAGATCCTATTGGTGGAATCGGTTGGTTGCAATGGACGAAGGAGGTGGGTAATAGACTAAGTAACGGCAACCCACGAGAAACCCTATAGTTAGTCCATCAAATTCCCCCCTAGTCTATAGGAACCACTCGTTTCAACCAATCGGATTGCTCCATATTCCGTGTGTCTTCTTTGTCTATACCTTTCGTCTATCAATTACAATAATCAGCCTACTGCTTTTTTAGAATCTTTGTCTCAATCTGTGTAATTGCCCATTAACATACCTCGCATCTTTGGATGAGATTCCAAAGGAAGGCTTCCGGAAATGTTCTAGGAAATCATTCACTCGGAAATGATCATTTTATTGTAATTATTTTCTCTCTTTCATTTCATCATTAGTTTCAGTAGTTGGTTGACTACGATACCTTGAGTAGTTGCATGCTTTCAAAATACCTAAGCCCCCATCCCCCTTAAAAAAAGATCCAAATCCTAGATGTACCTTATCACGCCCCTCTGTGCCTGAAGTCAACACTCACATTTGCGTATAATGATGAATGATGATCAAAAAGTCGAGCAATTAATAGATTGATTTGCCATTTAAACCAATGGAAAAGATCGATAAATAGGATGTTTTCAACGAGCACCTTAATAATCGATTCTTTACCATAGCTTCAAATGGGGAAATATCGATAATCGATCATCTACGCCTCTCCACTGGAACTTAACTTTTCTTAGTTCATAGTACGGAGTATCTGAAAATGTACTTTCGCTGTACCTCCTCAGCAAAAAATCGATTCAATTATTGAAACACAAACTGATTGCGGTAGACTCACGGGGGTCGTAAGACAGTAAGTTGGAATTTTTGAAAATCTCAATGCAGAGGGAAAAAGCTCTTATGAGCACAATTATCCCGCAAAATACGCTGTTTGGTCATTATTGAAACACCTCTCGTTAGCACAGCTATTTTTTAGGTTAGGAATGAAGGCGCCAGAGTACCCTCTATGCGAAGGTGTTTTTTCAAAGGTGCAAGGGTCGGCGTGTGATCTTGCATGTTTTCTCTCACCGTTGCGTTATGTGTTCGGTTCGGACGGCGGCGTCTAGCGCCCCCCCCTCCCCTCCCCTCGCCCCGCCGGCCAATCTTAACTGCCGCTCCATAAGTTATTTAGCCTATTTTCCCGTTGTCCGGCTTAAATTAGACCCCGCTCGCTTTCAGCCCGTCGTGAAAGACATTTCTTCCGCGTGACGTCATAAAGAAACGGCTTTCGCCGTCTCGCTTTTCGCGATTTGAGATCTCTTGGTAGGTGCGCTACATGCATGATGCATGCTCATCGCGGAAGAGGACCTTTGGCGGATCCAGCATATTGACAACATTTTTTCTCTCCATTTAAACCTACGGAAATGTATCGATTCATGGAGGGACCAGGTGCTCCGACAAGAATCGATTATTTACGTAGGTTTAAACGGAGGAAATCCGGTGTTGCCTAATTATTGCTGGATCCGCCTCTGAGAAGCTATGATTTTTTTGTGGCACACTTGGTTTATTGGAACTTTTGAAAGTGTATAATTGAAATGAAATAAAAAATTGAAAATTTCACCAAGATTTTATTTTGAACGGCACAATGTGTTTTTTCACATGCTTTTTGGCTCATGAAGCTGAGCAGAATGCCAACGCTTCTACTAGAGATTTCAAAGAAGAGCACAAACCTATTTTGAATCTAATATTTTTCAATCATCAGGAAATCCTTATTTTCAGGGCCGGATTAGCGCTTAGGGGTCTGAAAAAAAATGAGTAAATCAGAGTTGTGTCTTTTACAATCCCTTTTCCGCATCACTCTAAATTATAAAAATTCGTTTCGATATACCATTAGCTGATTCTTACGCATGCTACGAAGATGATTCAAATGAGTCCTAGTTACTTAGCTAACGGCAGAATCCATTCATCAAATCAGTTACTACACTGTTAACAAGGTCTTATCGGAAAACTGCACTTTGAGAACTTTGACTGATTCGAATCACTTTTGAAAGTTGACGCTGAAATCGCACCTAATCGTACCTCTAGTATTTTCTCTTTTTTTCTCTACCAATGATGACCCATACGTAATTTTTAATGGGACGATTGCAAAAGGAATTAGGGTTTAAAATTAATTAAATTAAATCAATTTAATTGAAAATAATTGTCGTGCAATCCGACAGCGGGAGTCCATGCCTCGGCGCCAGGTTGAGGTGATAGCCGGAGTTGAATTCATTTCACACCCTGCAACATAAAAGCACGCATAGCAGATTAGAGATTGCTCAATTTTTGTGGGAAACCAGTTTCAGAAAACTTCGATCCGCGGCTCTCAACGCGAGGGCCTTGCCGAAGGCCGACAACGCGTCGGCGGCTTCGCTTCGGAGCATTAAAAATAACGAGTTGAAATGCGTCGGATGAAACACTTTCAGCCTTTTTTGCGCTAATTTTTTCAGCCGTGAAAACTGCATCCGAAGAGCGAAGGTTTCGTGAGTCAAACCCATGCGTAACCGAGTGCATCGCTGAATCAATTTTTCCTCTCCTTCATACCTGCATAAAACCATTTTCATCGGGGAAAAAGGATCACATGAGCCTTGAAATTCATCTGAATGGCAGGGTCACAGGTCTCATTCGAGGATGAACTCGCTTCGTTTCGAAAATAACGTTTTTTTCCACGCTCGGAGAAAGTGGGACTTTTTCGTGCGTCATTCTGTGCTTTTACCCGGGATGGCTCCATTCTGGAGGACATGAAAAATGCACTCTACAATGACAGATCCAAGGTTAGTGCAGTTGCAAGCTCGATGCAATTTGTAGACACGCAAAAAGTGCGGCTGGAACGTCGGCTATGACGTTCGGCGCTGACTAAAGATTCCTGCTTTCGTATGAAAAAGTTCGTGCTTTGGGAAATTGACGTTGGCGTAAAAATCGGATCACAATTCGAAGAATCGGAGTAACTGCTATTAAATATACTCGCATAGGTCTCGCATTAATAATAAGCGATAATACGTCGAATCTCTCACGAGAGAACGTAGCTCCATTTCAATGTTGTCGAATTTCCCCTCGCAAATTGCATATTAACCAGGAGAATCTTGGGCATTTCTAAGTTGCGATTTTACTAATTTTTCCGCAGATCTCAGGCAAAATAGAAAAATGTCGTATACAAAAACGGGTATATTTTTGTAGAATAAAATAAAATTTTGACTCAATTCGGCAACCTTGGAATGAAGTTACGCTCCTTCGTTCGAGAGACTACAAAGAATGCAGTAAATTGAGAGGAAAACGGGAAAGTCAATTTTTTATTCTCTCAACACATTTCTTACATCTCTCACAGTTCTTACATCTGAAGTACTTCAGATGTAAGAACCGAAGCTTTTCGGATGCGAGAACCGAAGTCTTTCGGATGTGAAAACCGAAGTACTTCAGATGTAAGAACTGAAGTTTCAGATGTGTGATCCAAACCTCAGCAGCTGGACCTTAAGTGTTCAGATGCTCAATCTGAAAACTTCAGAGATCCATATGACCTAAACTTCAGGTCCCACGCACGAAGTTTTTTTTCTCCGTGTAAGGGGAAAATAAAGTCCAGTCATCGACTTATCGAGCTGAAAGCGGGCCCATTTTAAGATCCTCGATCTAACCCTTAAGTTGACTCTGGAATGGGCCAAAAATACACGGAGAAAAAAACCTCGTGCGTGGGACCCGAAGTTTAGGTCATATGGATCGCTGAAGTTCTCAGATTGAGCATCTGAACACTTTAGGTCTAGCAGCCGAAGTTCGGATCACACATCTGAAACTTCAGTTCTTACATCTTAAGTACTTCGGTTTTCGCATCCGAAAAACTTCGGTTCTCACATCTGAAGTACTTCATATGTAAGAACTGAAGTTTCAGATGTGTGATCCGAACCTCGACAGCTAGATCTAAAGTGTTCAGATGCTCAATCCGAAAACTTCAGAGATCCATATGACCTAAACTTCGGGTCCCACGCACGAAGTTTTCTTCTCCGTGTAGTAGTTCCTTAGTGGAAAATGAAGTCCAGTTATCGAGCCGAAAGCGATCCCATCTTAAAAGCATCCGACCTAACTCAAAGCGAGGTCCGCGATCGCTCCGGGCGGGTCTCGGATTTTGTCTCAGCTCGGCGCAGCTGTTCCCGGGCGGAATTTTTTTCGGCAGAAAGCGGGAATTCGGTGGCGGCGAAGGCGGCGGTGGTGGAGGCGAAGCTGCGGTCATCGACCCAGGCGACGTCACCCCGGCCGGGCCGACCGCGTCGGCGGCGTTCGCGGCGAAAAATACAAACACGATAATCTTATCGGAGCGAGGAAACCGAGCCCGACTGAGTGACATAATTCGTGGGCCACCGCCCGTTTTTTTCCGGTTTCCCAGCCGCGACCCGCGGCCCGGGTCCTCCGCGCCGCAGCCACCGGTTCCGACGTAAGAGCTACCTGTGAAGCTCGGCGCTCGGGATGACGTCACGCGCTCCTCGGAGATTTCCGCCGCTTTCCTGGCGCTCCAGGGGCTGCGCCTTGATTGGAGTTCCTTCACACTGAATGTTAAGAGTTAACATCTTGCGTATAACTTTTTATAATATGCGCCGTGACATATAGGCAAAAAGTCAATTTGGCCCCTATAAAAGCTTCAATGGCCCGTAAAAGTTGAGCTTGATGGGCCACATGGATCCTGAAACTCTAAGGTGAGTTTCGAACACTGACAGGAATCGATATCTGCGGGCTGAGTGTTGAAATTGATAGACAAAGAGGACATCATGAGTATGGAGCGATCCTCTTGGTTAATCCCTTGGGACTTCTTTTCGAAGTTATTTCGGAATGTTTCGTGCAAATTCTCCGCTGCCGTCAAAAATCAGCGAAATTTCGGACTCTGATCACGGTACCGTTTTCGTGTAAAAAATAGAATAGTGTAAGTAGATTATGCAACATTGGGCTAGAAAGACGTCCCGTTCTCTGAAAAAGATTTGAAACGGTTTTGGAGGAAAAAAAGAAAACAACATTTTTCTTTTCGGGCTATCTCAACTTATTTTCCTGTTAAATGACAGAGGACTCGCGAAAATCCACATGATGGTTTTGGCGTAGGTTAGAAATCTACCGCTTGGCGATCTTCCTCCGGTCCCATTTTTTCCCTGATCATTAATGTTATTCGCACAGTCACACGGAATAATATTAGGCAGCAGTCTTCATCCGCAGCCTCGTTATTTTTTACGTGGCTCATTATCACGCCGCGAGCAAGAGAGGCAGCATTTTTTCTCACATTTATTATGTTTTCTCCCGTTTTTTCCTTCTCTTTCCGATCAGATGTGAAAGAATTAGGTTAGTAAGGGCATTAACCGTTGCTCCCGAGGTTGCCACTCTCGTGTAACATTTAATTATACTCTTTATTTCCAGTGAGAACTATGAAGATTCTAATTTGAAATTTTTAGATAATTTAGGTATGATTGCGAGTAAGGTTCTCTGAAAAATTGGTGAAAAAATACACCTAGATCTCTCTAAAAATTCGTCAATTATGAAAGGAAATTTGGCAGCGTCTAAAAGTTCAAAGTCCAGGGCTTCAGAAAATGCCCAATCACGCGCCGGGAAAGCCCCAAAAATGTGGAAGGGGGAAAGGGGCCAAAATTCGAAAATCAAAAGAAAACTGAAAGCAAACGTCATTTTCTTTTAGGTTAGTGGGAAATTTTCTGGAAAAATGATATGATTTTGGAAAGCCGGCCGGCGGGCGTGTAAAATTGTGAAAGCTTGGAAGATTTTGCACCCTTGGTTCATACGGCGTTCTTTCTTAGCATGGCAGTCCAGTGTAATGTAAAGTTCGAAGATTTTGAAGAAATCACTGGAAAAAAAAACACATGGGATCTAGAGTCCAGACTCTTGAAAACATAGAAAAGAAAAAATACTCTCGATTCAATCGGACTTTTGCTTGAATCATAACGAAATCCGCTTAAATTAAGAGGCTTGGTTCTTGATTTAAGCTAGATTCTGATTGAATCAAGAGTACTTCTTCCTGTCGATGTTTTTAAGAGTCTGAACTCTAGATCCAATGTGTTTTTTTTTTCCAGTGATGTCCTTAAATCCCAAAATGATGTAGTGATGGAACTAGTCTCGATTTTTTCTCATAAGCACTAAAGAGCTACCATTAAACACAATGGATAAGCAATGCAAATTTTCGAAAATATTTTAATTTGGCTATTTGAACGATTAGGAGCGGCCCTAGCAGGGTACAATTTTTGGATAACGGCATGGAGCGCGCACATGTTAGGATCTTTGCCCCTGTGAAAATGAATTTGGGAGTCATATCAGACGGCCGAGCGACTTGGACACTTTGAACCTCATCAATCCGGATCGGAATTAACTTCGATATTTTTAGACCACTTCGCTTGTTTTTCGCACACGCGGACACGTGACCGGGGAAATCGTTTTTCGCAGCATTGCAAAATGAACGACCTTAATCAGCATTGCCAGAAAGGGGGAAATTCGCCCCATTTTAAGCGTCAAGGCACGGGATTTAGAACCTAGCACTGCCAGAGTCGCCAGACGCCAAATCAGCATTTTCCCCAGTGGAGGACAATGGCGTGGCGTGCTTTGCGATTTATAGATTGATCTGCCAGTTAAACCTGTGGGAAAGGATCAATGACCAGGGTGTCTGCACAGAACCCCCAAGTAATCGATTCTGTACCATAGTTTCAAATGGGGAAATATCGATAATCGATTGTTCTCACCCCGCCACTGCACTGGAAAAAAAACCCATTGGATCTAGAGACCAGACTCTTGAAAACATCGACAAGAAAAAATACTCTTGATTCAATCAGATTTAAGCTTAAATCAAGAACCAAGCCTCTTAATTTGATCGGATTTCCTTTTGATTAAAGCTTAAACCTGATTGAATCAAGAGTCCTTTTTCTTGTCAATGTTTTCAAGAGTCTGGACTCTAGATCCCATGTGTTTTTTTTTCCCAGTGCACCCTGCCACTGCACTGGAAAAAAAAAGTCTCTTGGATCTAGAGTCCAGACTTTTAAAATCACTGACGAGAAAAAATACTCGTGATTCAATCGGAATTTTAGGTAAAATCGAAAGGAAATCCGCCTAAATCAAGAGGCTCGGCTCTTCGATTCAAGACAAAATCGGATAGAATCAAGAGTATATTTTCAGGTCAATGTATTTAAGAGTCTGGACTCTAGATCCAAACAACTATTTTTTCCAGTGTGGTAGGAATGATCTTTCTCATGAGGTTTCCGGTTGTTTCAACATGA